AATGGACAACAAACTGTTTCATGTCCAGATGGTTACCAAATAGGGGACAACAAACTGTTTCATGTCCAGATAGTTACTAAATAATGGACAACAAACTGTTTCATGTCCAGATGGTTACCAACTAATGAACAACAAACTGTTTCATGTCCAGATGATTACCAACTAAAGGACAACAAATTGTTTCATGTCCAGATGGTTACCAAATAAGGGACAACAAACTGTTTCATGTCCAGATAGTTACTAAATAATGGACAACAAACTGTTTCTGTCCAGTTGGTTACCAACTAAAGAACAACAAACTGTTTCATGTCCAGATGGTTACCAAATAATGGACAACAAACTGTTTCCTGTCCAGATGGTTACCAACTAATGGACAACAAACGGTTTCATGTCCAGATGGTTACCAAATAAGGAACAACAAACTGTCTTATGTCTAGATAGTTACTAAATAATGGACAACAAACTGTTTCATCTCCAGATGGTTACCAACTAAAGGACAACAAACTGTTTCATGTCCAGATGGTTACCAACTAAGGGACAATAAGTTGTTTCCTGTCCAGTTGGTTACCAATTAAGGGACAACAAACTGTTTCATGTCCAGATGATTACCAACTAATGGACAACAAACTGTTTCATGTCCAGATGGTTACCAACTAGGGGACATAAAACTGTTTCATGTCCAGATGGTTACCAACTAAGGGGCAATAAACTGTTTCCTGTCTAGATGGTTACCAACTAAGGGACAATAAATTGTTTCCTGTCCAGTTGGTTACCAATTAAGGGACAACAAACTGTTTCATGTCCAGATGGTTACCAACTAATGGACAACAAACTGTTTCATGTCCAGATGGTTACCAACTAGGGGACATAAAACTGTTTCATGTCCAGATGGTTACCAACTAAGGGGCAATAAACTGTTTCCTGTCCAGTTGGTTACCAACTAAGAGACAATAAACTGTTTCCTGTCCAGTTGGTTACCAACTAAGAGACAATAAATTGTTTACTGTCCAGACGGTTACCAACTAAGGGACAACAAACTGTTTCCTGTCCAGACAATGGCTTTGGTGTGGATTTGTACAGATAATGGTGGTTTCTTGTTATTTGTCAATGAGTAGTTAATAAATTATCTGCGCATCTTTCATGTTATTGTTTATAAAGAGAGAGTCAGTATATTCTCCTATCCTTGTGTGTAGGGTTCTTCCGGTTTCTGCTATGTACGTATGATGACAAATGTCACATGTAAGTTAGTAAACAACATTGGGGACAAGATAGCCATCTTTAGATTGTAAACACGTTTTTGTTAGACAGTTGGATTTATTACATTGTAGGGTACTTTACTGAGATATTGAAAGTTGGATAAAAAGGGGTAGAACCTGGCCGTTCTATAACTTTAATCAGCAGTTCAGGTTTCCTGATTATAATTTATTTCTAGTATCAATATGTCTTCTAAACACCAATATTCACTACAGAAATTAAACTGTTTCCTGTCCAGATGGTTATCAATCTGGTGTTGTGAGGGTACTCATAAAAGTCAGATTCAACTCTGTCTGTTGATTTCACAAAGGAGCTTTTCAAGTAAATAACATAATTTTTTTAGTGTTAAAAAAAACAAAAGTTATGGTTATTAGTGGTCCACAAACCATGTTCAGTACTGATCCAGTACGAACCCAGTGAATCTAACAAATCACAGGAATAAATAATCCTGTGATCTTTAATTCGCCAGAATAAAAAAAAATTGCTTCACCTCTTCGATTACTATAACCTTTGTAAATCTAAAAATTGGTAAATTCATATATTTTTGATTTTTTAATGTTTTCCAATTTTGTGAAGTATCTATAATTAAAACCTGTGTTTTCTTGGTAACGAACTTTGTGTTTTAGGCTTAACACGAATATGGCTACCTTCCAAACACTAAATATTTCTCTAACTAAAGGCATGTTTAGTGAAAACGGATCTTTGTTTCGTATGAATAAATCCAGAAATGTTAAGACGTTTATTTTCAGGATTAATACGTTTACTAAATATAATAAGTTAGGGAGTAATATTATGCTATTGTTTTTGAATTAAACCTTCAGACAGTAATTAAACAACTTTACGATACCAATGGTGGGCAGAGCACAGATAGCTCATCGTATAGATGACTCTGTTCGCTTAAACTGGTGATTCTATTAAGACTAACGACATGAATCATATCCCATATCTTATCTCTATCTATTAGTGGTTGCTAATTGGTTCCAAAGTGGTTAGAAACAACCAATGAAAGGATCGGCTTTCTCTATCTCTCTGCCACCAGGTCATACTTCTAGCGAAGTGAAGATGACGTCATCACACGCTAAACCTTTTGTTCATCTTAAAGAGTTTGGTAAACTAATCTGGCGCCCAATGTACGGAGGCTAGTTGGTAATAAGTATAAAAACAACCTCGGAAGCATCAGAGATACCGGAACAAGATAAGTCGTCTCATCAACAGCTGAAAGTGTTCGGTAAGTCAGGGTCTAGAGACTTTGTCTAATAGTATTATATAATGATGTAATAGCGAATGTTAATGACAGTATAATATTTTTTTTTAAGTTAATGGAAAAATTTTTAAGTTCCGATCATTTCTAAAGCTTCTTTATCCAGATTAAGATTTTTTAATATTTCATAAGATTATTTGAATCGTTTTTCCCGGGTTTTATTTTTACAATACTCTTCTCTTGATTAAAATTTGTCTTTTCTCCCACTTGTAATAGTAATCTAATCAAAAACACCTTAATTGTGAAACGAAAGTGCGACCATAAAAGGATTGAGCAACTTAATGGAATTTTACAGCAAGGCCCGGCATGGCCAGGTGGTTAGGGCGATCGACTCGCAATCTGAGGGTCGC